TWWTWAAAAWWAAWKKTTTTTTTTTGTACCTAAAATATTTTTCAACTGCTATAATAGATAATGACTTATGAGGTATTTGTAATGCATTTTAAAATTTTTCACTGTATCAACATTTTATCCCTCATGGAAAATTTGACAGTCAATGTCAAGTTGATTTATTTAGTTACCTAGTGAAGGTTTTCTTCGTGATGAGTTCATTCAAATGTTTTAATAGTAATTTATGTATTTTTTTTTTAAATATATTTTWAAAAAATTAAAATGATTTTATCATCAAACAATTCAATAGTTACATAAAAATTATTTTTGATATAATGTACCTATTATTAGAATAATTAATTACATTTTACCAACCTTTTATGAAATTTATAAGATTTATCCCTTCTAAATAGCAGATACCTCCAAATAACGGATGATATTTTGGTAACCTAAAGTGTACGTTATTCCGAGTTTTCACAGTACATCTTATTAACTATATAATAAAACAAGACGAACGAATCTAAAACTTCCATCAATAAAATAATATRCAAACCACTTACAATGAAATACATTATGGTSATATAATGTTTCTTGAAATTACGGTTGGCAACGAGAACAGTTCTCATTAGTTTTAAAAAGCATAGTACCAACAAAAACAAAAATTATAATGAAAAAAGAAGATTTTAGTTTTACTCAAAACCGGTTTTCGAAAAAAATCAATTTTGTTTTTTTGTTGTAGGTACCAAGATTTTTAAAACTGTGTTTATAACTGTTTCCGTTGCCAACCGTAATTTCTTAAAAAAATAACTGTAGGTAATACGTAYATTTTCAATAAATGTTTATATTAGCATTTCCCATACATGATATAAAATTTTCATACTATTTTGAAAAATGTATTTGAATWTGAAAATTTGGATTTTAATTAGATTTTTTAATTAATCAATCAAAATACTTGTAAAAATTTGATACTAAGTTTCTCATACATTTTTCTACTTTTGATAGAAAACATATGTTTACCTAAAAGTCAGTCTTTGTTTGAGTGTTTGAAGTTCTAGTTTTTATGGAAATGAATATTTAACTGATTTAAGAACGACTATCTTATTTTGTTGTTTTTCAATTTTATCATTTTATATACATGATATAACTTTCAAAATATTTTGACTCGTTTTGGACTATTAATAGTTTATACCAATTTCAAATTGTATTATTTAATTTTTTTTCCATGAATGATAAATTTTGGTACAATGAAAATTTTTAAAATGCATTACAAATTACCTTATATCTTATAAGTCGTTATTATAGCAGTTGAAAAATATTTTAGGTACAAAAAAAAAACATTTATTTTTAATAAGCATCTGAAATCAAATTGTATTTGTATTTTGTTATTTGTAATTTGTATTTTCGAACAACTGTTAGTACATTGCATAACATGTACTCGTATCAAGTATCTTACCAATAGTACTCACCTACCTTAAAAGTACACAAATAGTGAAAAGTACATTAAATTATGATAATAAATGATTCAATTTATTTAATTTATGCAATATTATGTATAATTTATCTTATATTATTAAATATCTGATCCAATTTTAATGTTTTGCTATAAACAAAATTATCAGCATTGTCAATCAATATTAGACATTAAGGTAATGTCCTAGCCATTGTAGTAAATGTATTAGCAAAATATTTGATTTTCACAACATTTCCTATATTTTCTACTAGTGTTAGATGAGTCCATGATATGGGCTAGGCATTTACGTCGTTACCTAATTTACATAATTGACGGTAAAATATACATTGGTGTTCCAGAATCTTGATCTTGTCCTAATCAGGTCTAAACGATTATGTTAGGTGGTGTACGTCATCTATAGAATAGTATTTTAATTTTTATAATAACGTAGTACGTTACGCGTAATACTATTCTATTAAATAAAATTTAAAATTTCACAAAAAAAATTCATAAAATTGACCTTGAACTAGCAGATTCCATTTCATTTTTCAAACTTAATTGAATCAATTGTATTCGAACAGTAATAATTTAAAATTGTACAGTACGAACATAAGTGATGTATGYATGTATGTAGGTCACTCTGTTTTGCGTGTCTGAAAAAAAAAATTAAGTATCAAAAATGTTTTAACGAAGCACTATTTTTTATTTCATTAAACAGCAATTATTTAGACCAATAGTGAAACCATTCAAATATCTCTTTCAAAGAGTATATATAAAACCTTCAGTTATTGCAAAAGCAAAATATAAAAATTGGTATTTAATTATAATAAACTATTTATAGTAAATTTTATTCAATATTTGTAAAACATTTTATTGCGAAATTTTTATTATGTTATATTTCTGTAATATTTTATAATTTTGTTTTAAAATATTAATTTCAAATATCCCAATAATGAATCCAATGAGTTTCTAAATGTATGACATAAATGTTGAATTGTTGTTTGTCAAAATTGGGTGTAACATTCACTATAAGTCTTACACAATTGTCTTAAATAGTTTTTAAAACACCTTAATACATATTATAATATTTGTATTGTATACGTTTTGAGGCACACTACTTTTTCATTTTACCAACTCATATAAATTTCCCCCCACATGTCGATGACGTCATAACGTGGTTTATTTTCCAACAGTTTACAAAAAAAAAAAAAAAAAAAAAAAAACAATGCTTACTATATCAGCACGCGTGCGTTCGTTGCAATACGTTAGTTAGTTTCACTACGCCACAAGCAGCGTTACGCAGTTTATTGCTTTCAATCGGCGTTGTTGACGGTAAGTCTTTGTGTATTTCTTTACTGTTTTTCGATTTTGTTTCAAGATATTTTAATCAAATAAAGTCACAATATAATATACTTATTAAATAAGTATAACAAAATTTTGATATTATTGATTTACCTATATATTTAATAGGTGTAGCCTGTTTTGTTAAAATACTAATATATATATTATTTGATATTGTAATACAAGCTACTTTGATATTTTTACAATAAAATTTCCTATATTTTATTTAAATATTAATTAAAATTAAATTATAAGTTGAATTCAATATTATTTTCGTAGGCGTATGATGTAAATGTTAGAACATATGTTTTCAATGACTTATAAAAATAGCTGTAATTGTTCCCAAAAAATAAAATATCGAGACTAGAAATTAAATACATAATCTTATTTGAAAGGAGGGGAGAAATGTATGTAACCGCTCTGTTGTAGAGTTGTAGGTGTCGAGTTAACCTTACGAATGTAGTTGGTTGAATATTTCAAATACTGTTTAAGCCTATATGTTATGAGTTTCACCGACATAATATGACCGTAACTGGTTGGTTTAAAAATACTGGTTTCGAGTATAAATTCTTGATGTTTATTACTATTTGTCTTCACTTGTCCTAAAAAATACAAGACATTTTTTCACCTTTAAACCCCTAAAGTAACAATTAGATAGATAATTAGACGGTCAGATCCGACCTGAAGCATATTGTCTAGTATGAAAATTGTTTTTAAACWTCAAAAAACATATATCATTGTAAAATCAATATATTTATCTCCACTCAGAGTCTAAATAAAATACACATTTTAATTAAGTAAGAAAGTTCAAACTTACTTTTTTTGTAAATTTTTGCAATTTTTGCAATTTTYGCAATTTATACATTCATATGTTCCATTTCAAAAAGAAATTTAACAGATTCTCAAATTGTATTCATTACCAACCTTAATTTTTTTAGGTGGGTAATCAACTTTTTAAATTAAACTAATATATATATACGGTATAATATATACGTTAAAACAATATATTAATGATTGAGTTACGATAAATCTAAATATATAAGTAAATTAAAATATATTTAAATTAAATAAACAGRTTGAACTTTGAACTTTAAAATGTCTTAGCCACCTCGAACATAATTGTCTTATGGCATTAGCTAAGTCTTATCGATTAAAATAAATATTTAATTAAATATTAGGTACTGTTATACATTTCTTCACACTTTATTGCTTATTATTCATTTAAATTATTTTTTATGAGTTTTCACAAATCCTTTGTGCAAGCCTCATTAAAATATTCATACTCTAGTGTTTGTAATATTGATAGTAATTAGCGTAATCTAAATGATATGGATTATGAATGATTAAGTAATATTTGCATTTTATCAATATTCTAGAACTTTTGTAATTAACTCTACTTACATTATAATAATTGTCTAGAGTATTCTAGAATATATTGTGGACAATTATCGTTTCATTATAATTTATTACAAATATTAAAATGTATTATAATATAATGTAATAATTGTAATATAACATATCTAATTATAGATAACAGTAAATGAATACAATATTTCAATTAAGTAAATAATATTAATTTGTATGCACAAACCATTTTATTTCAATGCGTTATTCAACATAATTAGAAATAAGCAATTATTATTAATTTCTACAGTGATTCAAATAATAATAATTAATTAATAAAATCAGATAAGATTTGAAACATTTGAAACATTTAGATACGATTTATGGTGGTATTTATTATTATTATATATCAATAAAAATATATTGAATATTATTATAGTTTGGTTTTATAATTATATATTATATCATACATATATTTGATGATTAAAATATATATTATATATTATATTGAAAAATGTATACATCATGTACATCAATGATGTACTTATACATTAATTAAATAATTATTATTTTTAAGTTATAAATAGTTGATTATTATTCATTACATATATTCAACTCGATATCATGTATATATAAATAACATTAAATTTCGTTCAGAGGAAATACGTTATGGTTGTTATTAAAACAAATTTTAAAATTAACAAGATTACAACTTGAATTTTATATAATTTATTACTATTCCAGAACTTTTATTAAAAATAATTGATGTYGTTGCAGAATAAGTGTTGATAAGACTGAGGCTTAATTTTTTGAAGTCAATCAAAAAATTAAATAACATTCAAAATGATACGATCCATTTGCAAACTACCTCATAAACTAGCTGGAAAAATGGCCGTCGATATTCTATCCAGGAGTATGGCTGGKCAAGCACCACAAAAAATGGAAGATTACTTCAAAGGAAAAAAGTTTATYGTCACTGGATCTTGTGCTGGTGAGTCATATTATTATTAAATAACAGTTAACACCATATCATTTATTCACACGTCAAACACACTAAAAACGTGTACGAGTAAGTATTGGAAATACYATATACAGTAAAATGTTTGACTAATGTTAAGTAAAAAATATCACATCGACACAAGTTTATGAGCGAATTATTAACGTGTGGTTAATAATTGTACTGAAATGTTTTTCATGATTTATTTAAAGTTAGACATAGTCATGGCTGCTGAGAATGATTTATAAAGGAGTATTTACATTTTGATTACATGACATACCGTTTAGAATTAAACATAAGTATGTCATATAACATGGTATAATGACAAATCAGTTAAGAGATATATACCTAATAAAGTATACGTCCTTTTAAAAAATGCTACGTAACCGTTTATTTTGAAACACTTTTAAACTATATTCACTCWGAGTAGTTTTTCAAACTTTATTTTTACTCAGAATTGATTTAAAATCCATATTAATACCAATATAAAACTGTTTATAACCGACAAATGTCGATTTTTCAAACTTATTATTGTTATATTAATAGTGCAACTATACAACTGAACTTGGTAGCAAACAATTAAACATGGCTTATATTGGACTGGTTAATGCAATTTTAAATATTTAAGATAATACAAAAAGTGTTTTCTTTTATTGTTATAACTTATTTTTATTTTTATATAGAATTTAATTTTGAATTAAAGCAGAAATGTWTAACCTTTACCATCCTCTACTAACACCCATGTCAGTTTGCCTCTGTTTAATTCATAATAATGAAATGTTGAAATCCTGTCCAGAGCAATGCCCAGATGTGTGTTTAAATAATATGAAAAAAGTAATAAAAAAAATAAAAAATAATCTGATGAATTTAATAACTCGAATATTGTTATGAGCTTTTATTATTTCCAATGTATACATTTCAATGATAATAATAAAACTATCTTAAATGCAAAAATATAATTATTTAATATTTTATTAAATTTAAATTTTAAATATCTAACGTACAACTTATTTTCTCAGTTCACTTCTGTGTTTTTTTATTGTTATATTTTTACCGCTGAAGGAATTATTTTACTGAAGTTTTTATAACTTTCAGTATCAACTATCGCAATGGTTTATGGAATTTTTATTATTATTTTTTTTTTAACAAGCGCGATATTTGTAAATCTATATTATAAAACTACCTATTTATCTTATCATTTTAACAACGTATAAATTTGAATATTATGTAATCAGTAAAATTTATAATTATGTGTTAAAATGAGTACTGAAGAGTATTCCCTGGCACTCAACTATTTTTATATGAAGTATACATTAAAAAATGTGCGTATAATAATAGTTCAAAATAAACTCAATTAGTGGATTTGTGTATCAGGACATAAAGATAATAAGGAACCTACTCAGGTTCTGTTTTCTGATAACATTTTAATTTAGGCCATTATTAAATAAGAATACAATCAAAAGTAAAATTTCGTTGATTTTCCACATCGTAAATTGTATATATTATTATAAATGCTTAAAATTTTAATACAATTTCTATAATTCAAATATCATGAACATTTCGATAGGATGAAACACGTTAATTATTGAACAGTTCATTGCTCTTGATATT